TGCTGCAAAATGGGAGTTTGAGGCTAACGCTAATATAACTGCTTCCAGAGGTATCAATTACTACCCTGATATTTTGTTTAACCTAATATTATGTACGCTTATCTCGACGTTTCTACTAGCTTTATTACAGCGAAGCTTGCGTTTAAATCCTGGTTCTATTCAACTGTGGCATGAGTATTTTAAACTTGAACTTGTATATATTGAAAAAATCAAAGCTCGACGGAGGATTTTAGGAATATCTTCAGAGCCATCAAGTTTAGAGAATTCAAATACTGGAGACGTGATATTAATTTCAGAGCTTGTAGAAGAGAATAAATTTAATGAAGACGACAATAAAATGTTATGCGGAGAAATTGTTAGAGCTGTGTATTTGAATGCCATTAATGGTAAAACTGTTTTTCATGATTCATGCTTTTCCTTTCTTTTTTTTTTTAAAAAAAAAAAAAATTAATTTGATGATGGTTTGTTAAAAACAAACAAAATTGTAAAAGCTATCCCAGACAATTTAGCATTTCGTCAACAATTTGTCAATATTTGTTACGAATTCTCTGATACGCAAATAATTCAAGATACCATTTACGAAAGGTAAATCGCATTTATATTACTTTACTATATATCGTACTCTGTTTCGGAAACCATTAGCTTGACATGTTTTAATGTCTAAGTAGTATTCGTAAAGATTTTGGCAAAAATGCAAAAGCCAGAGCTTACATTGCAGAAAGACATTTATTCTCTATGCTAGATGTAGAAAAACCCGAATTCGAAGTGGCTGTTAAAAATAGTGTCAACGAATTTCAACAGAGCGTTGAGGTTTGATTACGTTTAATTACAAGCTTCTTTGAGATTTCATTAATTATCTTCTAATATTTTGTTTAATTTTAGGAGTTGGCTGATAAAGAAATGTGGTACCTATTTACCAAATTTCTTAATAAATATTTGCATAAAATTACGGATAAAAATTTGGTGTGTCATTCGCTCGAGTCGGTATTATTCATAAACATGGAAACGTGATTGTTGCTCAACAAATGAATCCCTTCTTTTAAATAGAATTACTATTTTGTAAAACTATTGTCTCAAGCATATGAGACTGCTGCTTCTTTAAATCTCGTTTCAGAAAAAATGTATGTCGAATGGATCGAATGGTTCCTAGAAAGTCACGATTCCAATTCCAAAAATGCGCTTGAGATTGCAAAACAAGCTACCGATATTTATCCTCAAAGTTCAGAACTTTGGATAAAAAGAATTGGCGTTGTAATGTCCTTAGAAGAACTTCAAGTAAACGAATTATATGGATTAGCATTGAAAAAGAATCCTGCATCAGTGGTGTTGTGGGATTCTTATATATCCTGGAATTTATCAAAGTGGAAGGATGGTGGCTTGGAAGATCATGAACTGGAAAAAGCGTTCACGGTATACCTTAATTAATATTATGCGTTTACACGTTTTTCTTTTTTTTAACAAAATTGACCTGGAAGTATTTATTTAGGCATCGGTTTCTAAGGTCGCATCATTATCGTTAAGTTTGATAACTACTGACGAACATCATCCGAAGAAAGCGAAAAATAAAGTTGTCGACCGATACTTAACATGGGCTGATGAGGTTGGAGGGCTGAAAAAGACGCGTCAAGTTTATAAAAGGTACTCATGTTAAGAATTTTCAAATAGTTTAATATAAACTTCTTTATTCATCCTTTAAACTTTTGCTTAATATAGTCTTTTAAGTAAGATCCTACCGACTCTTGAGTTTTATCAAACATGCATCCAAATAGAAGAAAAGCATATAACTTCACCCATGACACCAGACGCGAAAACCCATTTAGAATGGTTATATGATCGAGCTTGTCAATTTGACAATGCACCATGTGGTTTGTAGCTATTAAATTGCCTGTTAATAACAATTTGGAACAGTGAAAAAAATCGACGTGCTTTATGTTCATTCCGCACAAAGTTTATTTTGTTAACAAAAAAAATTTTGAATGTGCGCATTACCGCACATTATAATTTTACTTAATAGATATTCCACGGTTCCTATGCCTGTAACATTTCTGATTAAAATTTTAATGATAACGTAATGTCCGTGGAATAATTTTTGATATTTCCACGGCATTACGTCATCATAAAATATCATCAGAAATGTTCACGGGTGAACATTAGGGGTCGTGGAATATAGGAATAAAAGCATATGTGGGTGAGTCAATAGAAATCAAGCAAATTTTTTATAATAAAATTTTTTAAAACTTTAAACCAAATAACTTAACAAATTTAATTGTTTTTGTTATCGGTGTTCAAAGTTTGAAAAAATTTTATTATAAAAAATTTCTTGATTTCTATTGAACTCACCCCCATATACCCAAAACTGAATGGGTAATTAGATATCTATATGCATAGGTTTAAAATTTAAATGCACATTTTTAAAAATTTAGTGCGCAGAATGCGCATCATCTAAATCTGAAATTTTTTCACTGACTTGGAATTAGATAATTTAAATAATTTTTTTTTGATAATATTTGAAAATAAGGATTATATGTGATACTAATAATTGTCATCATCACTATCATTAGATTTGTGGTTAGGCTACATTAAATTCCTTCTGGTCAACAATGAACGACTGCGAGCAACTAGCATCTATGAAAAAGCAATAAAAGTTGTCGAGGATCCAGCTTTTTTAGAAAGTCAGCATCGTCAGATGAGTGCCGAAATATAGTAATATCGTTGAGAAGATAAAAAATTATTTTCTTTAATTAAAAAACATTACTAATCAATGATCTAAATAACCATTAGAAACAAATATGTATTGCAATTCTCTTGATTTTTCCCAATAAGCTCTGTATAAAATATTTAAAGTATAAAAAAACTTTTAACAATAAAAATATAGTGGAAATTTCATGGAAGATTAAAGTGATATCAAAGTTTCGTTTTTGATGCATTAAAGTTCCGATGCGTAATTTCTACGCATAGTGATAAAAAGTTGTTTTTGATGATTTCTATTTAAAAACATCAAAAAAGTAATTCAGAATTTTCTGTCTGTCCACGCACGTGATCTAAAATATAAAAGTGATGAATTTTTCTGCTCGTCTCCATTGCATATTGTTGTTTGCTCCGGATTAACAACGGTTTCCGTTTCCTAGTGAAGATTAAAATCTAATTTTATTATATTCTGGTATATACAGTATAGAGTTTAAATTTTAGAGTGGGGTATATAACGATAAAAAAAGGGTGCATTAAACATTTCCTTAAATTGACTGATCAAAATAAATCACGTAAATTTGGTAGTGAAATAAACATAATGACTAATCGTAAAGATTTTGAAATCCCAATTACCGACGAAAATGACGTTTTGCAGATCACAGCTTTGGGTGCTGGAAACGAAGTTGGAAGATCTTGTCTAGTGATTCAATACAAGGGCAAGATAATAATGGTACTATAGATTTTTATGCATACAGCCGATAATAAATAGCATCCATATTGTTTAATAAAACGACTTTTTAGTTTTATGTACAACTACTTTTAATAACAAAAATAATAAAGATATGTTTACGATTTCGTAGCTTGACGCGGGTATCCATCCTGCATATAACGGCCTTGCGGCCCTTCCATTTTATGATGAGATTGATCCTGCAACAGTTGATGTGTTGCTTATTAGTCAGTATGTTCATGTTACCCTCCTTAAATTTTATTAAGAAGTGCATTGATGTTTATATATCTAAACATTCTTTTTGATATGATGGTTCGTGAAATATTAGTTTTCATTTGGATCATGCTGCTTCTTTACCATATTTTTTAGAAAAGGTATGTCTATTTGATTATCATGCATGCTCATGAATGATGATATTGGAGAGAATTCTATTAAAATTGAATTTTTTTAGACAACGTTTGAAGGACGCGTGTTTATGACTCATCCAACAAAAGCAATTTATAAGTGGTTACTGTCTGATTATGTGAGAGTTAGGTGAGCCTAAGAAAAGTTAACCATTTTCTATTGACTATGTTATTAATCATTATGGTTTGTTTACAACTTAGCAATGTGGCATTGGATGAAATGCTCTATGAAGAGCAAGATCTTTTGCATAGTTATGACAAAATTGAAGCTGTTGACTATCATCAAGAAGTCGAGGTTGAAGGGATAAAGTTTACAAGTTATAATGCTGGTCATGTTTTAGGTGCTGCTATGTTTCTGATCGAAATTGCTGGAGTCAAGGCAAGTTAATTAAACTGAAGTATTACCCATATTTACTTCTTATAATTAAATACAATTTAATAATAGATTTTATACACTGGAGATTATTCGAGAGAGGAAGATAGGCATCTAATGGCTGCAGAACTACCTCCTGCACAACCAGATGTATTGATCACGGAATCTACTTATGGTGTTCAAAACCACGAACCGCGTCTCGAAAAGTATAAAAGTTCTTAATATCATAATACCTTCATATGATTATTATTAAAGTCTTATTTATTTTTATCTGATATTTAGGGTAAGAATCATTACGCTAAACTTCATTTAGTTATTAATTTATTTTATTTAAATGATATATGATTAAAGGAAGCGCGATTCACCGGTAAGGTTTCTTTTGATCCACCAAACAAAGATACAAAACAAAGCATGAAAATAACCTTTTAGATTTCTAATCAAACCAAATCATAAAAGGATTGGTTCATGATATAGTTCAGCGCGGTGGTCGTTGTCTTATGCCTGTTTTCGCGTTGGGACGTGCACAAGAGTTACTCTTGATTCTTGACGAATATTGGGAAGCACATCCAGAATTAGAATCTGTTCCCATTTATTACGCATCTTCTTTAGCCAAAAAATGTATGGCAGTTTATCAAACATACATCAACATGATGAATTCCAAAATCAGGAAACAATTTGCCATATCCAATCCTTTTGTATTTAAACATATATCAAATTTGAAGAACATGGACAACTTTGATGATGTAGGACCATGTGTAATGATGGCCAGTCCTGGTATGTTACAAGTAAGTTCACTGCTCTCTAGCTTTATCGTCAACTATTCGAAGCAATTTGCTTAATAAAATTTTTCATAGAGTGGATTATCGCGTGAATTATTTGAAAGATGGTGTCCCGATAAAAGAAATGGTCTAGTTATTACTGGATATTGTGTTGATGGGACTATGGCACGGGTATATTATTATATCTAAGCTTTCATGATGAACCATTTGCGTTATTGCACATATTTGATGTTTTTATGACATGTTTACGATCTATAGCATGCCATGACAGAACCGCCAGAAATATCAACATTGTCAGGTGCTAAAATTCCATTAAATATGTCAGTTGATTACATATCTTTTTCGGCTCATGTTGATTATATACAAAACAGTAAATTCATTGATGAGATTAAAGCTCCTCATGTGGTGAGTTGTATTTTATTCAGATTGAATGTTTTCATGTAGTTGACAGGAATTGCACATTGTAATGAAATACATAATAGGTTCTTGTTCATGGAGAATCTAATTCAATGGCTAGATTGAAAGCTGCTTTACAAAGCAAGTATGTTGAACGAGAAGAAAATATTAAAATTTATTCTCCAAAGAATTGTGAAACCGTCAAGTTATATTTCAGAGGAGAAAAATTGGCAAAGGTACTTGATAATTATTATATATGAAATTTTCTTGATTTGATGTGAATAAATATAACCTTGTCTTACTATCGTTTTACGTGATAAGGCTATAGGTCGCTTGGCGGCAAAATATCCTAGTGAAAATCAACTTGTATCCGGAATTATTGTATCTAAAGATTTCCAATTCAACATTATGGATCCTAATGATCTTAAAGATTTTAGCGGGATTCCTACTTCTGCGATAATTCAAAAGCAAACTATTGCATACCACTCTTCTTTCTCTCTACTAAGGTATCATCTGGAACAGATGTATGGTCCACTCGAAGAAACTTTAGACGACAATAACGTTCCCACTTTTACCGTAAGTTCAACTCATTATTTACATTTAGCATAATTATTTTAATTCTTTAAAAAAAATTTTTTTAAAAAAAACAGATTTTGGATAATATTAAAGTGAGACATATTAGCAAAAGTCAAGTTCAACTTGAATGGTCGGGCACTTCCATGAATGATAATATCGCAGACTCTGTACTAGCAATCTTGTTGAATATTGAAAGCAGTCCAGCATCCGTAAAAAGTAATTCATATAATTTTGTTAACGATTAATAAATATCAAATTTCATTAACGATAAAATCAAATTATTGTAGTTACGAAACATTCACACATGGTCGAAAGTTCTAATAATCTTATGGAAATTGATGATCGTGTGGAAACAAAGATGGAAAAGATGGAAACGGAATTGATGGAAAAGATGGTAACGGAATTGTCACTCCCGAATACATCAACATTACGAGAAGCTACTGAAAATTATTTAAGGAAACAATTCGGAGAAATATATAGTAAGGACAACTCTGAAGATGAAATCATCATTAAAATGGATGATAGTATTGCAGAAGTCAATCTTAGCACTTTAGTAAGTTATTGGTTTACTATTTATTTATTTGTTTGTTTATGCTTTAGTGACGGCGTTTTTTTTTTTTTTTAATTTGTAACAGGAAGTCAATACAGATGATGATATGTTAAGAAACAGAATAGCCACAATACTACCTCGCATTACCAAACTTTTACATCCTTTAGAATTCTGTCCTGAGTAAAGATGATATCAATTTGATTAGTTTGATCGTGATCGATTATAAAAAAAAAAATTTTTTTGAGTATGGTCTGTCGATAAATGATTGAACATATTCGATCATTAAATTGTCATGCCTGACACTATGCATCACTCGTAATCTCTACAATACGCGCATTTTTCACAAATGAATCTCTATAATCGTCAATTGTATTATTAAT